AGAGTCTGATTTTCCACTTACGGTTTCCTAAGACATCGTTTGTTTCCCCAGTACAAGAATTTGAAAGCTTTAGAGAAAATATACTGATCTAAAGTAGATACATGGTGCCTAAAGTTTTAGGCACAAAGGAAAACAGTTACCTAAAAGTCATATCCACTGGAACTTGTTCTCCCAAATAAGCCAGTGTACATATGATCTTTTTTTTTTTCTTTTTTTTTTGTTTTTAATTGGACTTTACTACTGGTACCATTACAATTTTTTGGAAATAATTTTCAGAAATCTGGATATAAAGGGCATGCATAAAGTCACACAATACTCCATTGTATCTTATTTATATTTACTTCTTAAATGAAAATCAGTAAGATGAGTATTTATTCAGCTGGTTAGGTTCGGGGTATTGTTTTATGCTTTTAGTTTTTAAGAGTTATGTATAACCAAGTCATTATTCAGCAAAACCGGCTGGATTTTTCAGTTTCATGTCCGCCAATGCTACTGAAGCTTTTGTGGGGTTTTTTGGGTTTTCTTGTTTTGTTTTGTTTTTTTTACTGAAGCTTGAGAGCATCAAACATAGCATTTCTGAGAAGGGTGTTTTTGGCAACGAAGAAATATAGAGTTATAAAATTCAAAAGAGCAACTACGAGTCATTGCAATGAATAACTGAAGAGCTTGCAGCTTTTAGTATGTAACTAGATTCAGCAATCAGTTTCTAGGTTAAGAATATTTTCCGTTCATTTACATTTTGTTTTCAATGGAATCAGAGGTTAGCTGTGACGTTTTGGGGTCTCCAGAATCAGTTTGTGACAGTTTCTAAAGTGTCTTTTAAGGCCAGTTTACCATAGATATAGTGAAGACCGTAGATTTGAAGCTTGCAATGGACCAGAATTCCCTGCAGATTTGCAAATCGCTTTTGCATACCCAGCCCCAGCCCTTGCAGAAGCAACACCTGGGTCTAGGCTGGTACAACAGGTGCTTCCAAAGCCTCAGATTGCAGGCATTTGCACTCCATGAAGCAAGGCCTCGCACAGGCTTGTTGAACCTTAAATTGCATTTCAGAACAATGAAAGAGTTTTGCATGCTTATGCAGTGTACAGATAAGAGTCCATGTCCTTTCTGCAACAAACATGCCAAGAAACGTTTGGTCACATTTCTCTCTTACATCCTTCTTTCCATCTTCTATTACAACACACTTAATTCTCCTCTTTTTAAGGAGTCTTCATGAATCTGATCTTTACCTTTTAGATACAATAGTGTAAATAAGAGACAGATGCAGACGATAAGCAAGCAAGGAGGATCATGCATCAATAAAACAACGTGCTATAAAGAGACAATATACTACTTTGGGAAGGGGGAATGCTTTTTGGCATGCATTTGTATAACGTCTAGTTCAATGGAGCCCTTTCCTAGAATGGTGCTACAGCCACAGAGATAAGTACTTAGATTCCAAGCAAAATATACATTTGCATACAAGTTCAAATCCTTCCTGTGCCAGACCCAGAAAGGTCCCCTACTGAGTTTCAGCTTTAGGAACAATTAGATGCCTTGTAGAACTCAAAGTCACAGTGGGTGTTCTCCAGAGGTCAATATGTTGAGAGGAAACAGCCCGTAAACAACTCGGAGAAACTGGAAGACAACTGACAACCTCAGGTGAAAAAAAAAGAGAGGCTGGCACCATAGAAGGATGAATGAATAAGAGGGGTGAAAGAAAAAAAAATCAGAACACAGAAACAAGAGGGATTGAGAATTGCTCAGTGTCATTAGGACATGGATGTTTGAATTTGATGCCAAGAAGAAGAGAGAGAAAATTGAGAGGTTCAAAGAACAGGGAATGATAATGAAACATTAAGAAAGATGATTAAATACTCTCCTGTATCCTAAAGTGTCACTATTGAATTCTTCCCTCCTCCTCACTCACTATTCTTCCACTTACACACACAAATAATTTTCCTTACAGATCTCTGACCCCAGTGCCTTTTCTGCTGTTTCTTCCTACAGTCCCCAGGAGCAGGCTCCTCCTTCACTACAGCGAAGCTTGGGCTACAAAGCTCTGCTCTTTGACCCTCAGCTGGGGCAGAAAACCAGCAGCTCCTCCTTCCTCCAGCTGCCAGATTCCACGAGTTGCTTCTGCTGTGAGCAAGGAAGGAAAACAGCTTGTTATTTCTCCTCCCTTCTCCTTCAGCCCTTTCAGGACAACAGATTGTCCAAGGGAAGAGGAGACCTGATTTCATGACTAAAAACCACATATTTGATCACATGTGCTTCTTTCACGGATATCAAGCCAGTAGATCAAGCATAGGGTTGGAAAAGGGACTCTCAATGGGGTGAGCATCTTGCAAATGCAAATAGTTCTATTTGTTGTGCACAGCACTGCTAAATGCAAGCTATTAATACGTTTTACTACATTGCTACCATTAATACTACAGCCTTGGACTCAGAACAGGATTATGCCAGTATCCTAGAGGTTTATGGATTCCTGATCAACTACCACACTAATTGAGTCTGAAGGACTAATTTATGACAGATAGTTCCTCTTCATTAGTATCTGGCTTTGTTAAAGTAGCACCCCACAACCACACACAAACACTGGTTCATTATATATTGACAACAGTGAAGTAAACCTGAGAAGAGGACATATGACAGTGTATATATGTGACTGTTTTATCTACATATTGCACATCTGTATATGGCTGCAGACAAGTTTCACTGTGTCTATAAACAAGCTGTATCACTTAAGAGTTGTACTTTTTCCTACTGCATTTCAAAACCCAGACTATAGATCAGCATCTGCCAAACTACTCACTGTCAGGATTTCGCCCCACAATCCTAAACAAAATGTTTTGGATGGGAAGACATTTGGACACTTACTCTTTAGCCAAACCATTTTGATCATTTATAACAGCCTAGTCTTCTGACATGTTGGTTAAAACTCTGCTTGTGGGGCATCCCCAGGACAAATAATAGATTTTTCATAAGTATCTGATATCAGATGATGGAAAGGGGTGGGCAGTGAGCCTAGCCATCATTCAGCTCTTGAGTTAAAGAACAGGAAATAACCAAATTGAAAAAGATCCAAAAATAAATAACACAGGTAATAAGTGAATAACAACTGATACTCCATGCCAAAGTCAGTCAAATTATAATTGCTGAACTATGCCTCCGTGCTTTAACTGGTACATGTGTTAACAAGCACTGTACTTTCATAGTTCCTGCCATTAAAAATAAATGCATCATTTATTAACACAGCTAAAAATATTAACCACCTAAAAAGTGTGGTTCAGTAAACTAAACCATCCCATTGGCAACAAGTAAAATAAGTTCTGAAACTTTTGCCTAATCAAGGCATTTTTAATATACATTTATATGTATTTTTTTATTAAATGCAAGAAAGCATTAGGTGGGAGGTGACAAGTAGCCTGTGTAGTAGTTTTCTTAGAGTCCATTTACATTATGCGGTAAGACAACACAATTTCTCAACACAAATGCAGTTAGCATCATACAACTCCGCAATCCACAGCTGCCACATCACAAGCCTTTTCAGACCAAGACCTTCACTAGCAATTGTGAGTGTTTAGCAGACTGGATTTTTGTTAGGAGAAATGAAATCACAGCGGATCGAGGAATCCCACACTTCAGCCAATCCTAAAAATGTGAAGCGTGCACGATTTCCCACACCGTTGGGCTAACCTGCCATAACGCTGGGCTGCTGACATGACCTTAATGCCAGCTTGTTCGAGTCTTCTTAACTTTCTGATCTCTTCTGCATCTTTCCCCTTGGGTGTTGATGTTTCTTTTGCACTACATGAAGGAGACTGGTCTATGGAGCTTCCTTCATTTTGATTTGAACCTACTTGATTTTTAAGGGAGTTTGCCTCAGGAGCCACGGAGCACACTTTCTCCTTTTCACACAGTCCTGATGTTTCATTCTGTTCTTCTGTGATTTCAGGGTGGGGTTTGCTATTGAATTATACAAGGTAGTTTAATGTATGTTATGCCTGAAACATATACACTTATTTATTCTAAGCACATTTTGCTGATACCAAGATGCCAAAGGATGTTCTCATAAACGATCCAGGAAGATAATTATGCTCTTTAATGGAAGTTGCTTCTTAGGTCAAATCAAAAGCAAAGTATTAGTTGACAAAAGTAGCATGCAGAAACACAGAGTCACAGATATATAAACTGTACTGGTGCACAGAATACAACATAAAAATAAATTGATCTTAAAAAAACCACAGCAAAAATGTTACCTATTTTGACTGAATACATCAAATGCTACTTATAAGTATCATTTGTCAGTGAGTAACTGTCTTGAGAAATGAGACAGATAATCCAGAAAATTTTTGTCCAGCCCTGGGTTTGAGGCAATATCCATGGTACTTGTATTAACAAACACAAGTTATACCTTGCGTTGTATTGTAAATAATGACATCAAGGCAATTATTTTCCACTCACTGCTTTCCTACCACCTTCACCAATTGCTACAAACAATTTATCAGTACCATCTCAGCAAGAGGTTTATTACAGCAGAAGGCGCTTTATACATCTTATGAAAAGAACAAAAATTAGGCAAGTGTTAAAACATCATCACTGAGGAATGGAGGAGATGGTCTGGTCAGTCTTACCTGAAAGGTCTGTCTCCCAGGGGTGAAGTCGCCGTGCTCCAGCTCTTTCGGTACTCTTCTCGTTCAGCTTGCTTTTTCCGAAGTGGAGCGGGTACATAGAAAGTCTGATTACTCTTGTTAGGGAGGTACTGGTTAAAAGGCACAGCTGATTTAGGTTCACCATGTGAGGTCCGCCTTGCCAACATATCATCTTTTTTCACATCTGGCATCTTTCTGTGTGGCAGGTCAGTTTCCGAGTCACTTCCTCTCCCTAGTGAGGAAGAAGAAAAAAGATCCTTCTTCTTTTCACTTTCATCCTTTTTTTTAATATATATATTATAAATCAGGGAAGACACAACCAAAAAATTACATTTAGCATATAAGCACCAAAAATTAGGCCACTTTTACCTATATTTATATTTAAAAATCAATCACTAAAGGTAGTAGCCATAATGTCTACACAGACAGTAAATATCTTTTTTCATCAACTCTTATTTTCTGCCCCTGAAAAACTCATCTTCAGCCACAGATCACATAAAAAAACTCAGGGTCAGATTAAGTCAGACTTGTCAATCACACAGGACAGCTAGAGACGCTTACCTAACTAAAGTCCAAATGACTTCCCACTTGTACATATGGGTACATTTGACCCGATTCCCACTCTTGAACCTAGACTTACATGTGCATAGCACACGCTCAAGCAAAAAAGGGCTGCATGCTCTATATTTACAGGAAGGCAGGAATCCGTGGATGTTTCTGCACACACATATTAACGGCAGTTTGAACACACACAGCATCAGCTTTGATTAGACTCTGAGAATAAGCATCAGCTGCCATAAACCAGAAGACTCAGATGGTCTTTCTCCAGGCTCATCAGTTGCCTGGTCAATCAGTCTAGCACACTGCAGAACAGACAGAGAGCCTTGATCCTCAGATAGGAAGGGACCTCAGGATTTAGAGGTTAGATCAGTACAGCAAAGACTGAAGAATATTTGCTGGCAAAGAAAATAAGTAAGGTGAAAGAGGAAAATCAAGACTTACAGAGAATGAGATGGGAGATGAACAGAGCTGAGCACTTTATTTTGTTCAAATGAACTAGGCTTCCTGATATTTACATCCCATTTAAAACACAGAAACTTAGGCAAGACTTTTCCAACTTGAAAACAAAATTCCCAAATGGTAGGCCAAATACCTTAAGGAGCATTTGCAGTGGAACTGCCCTCACAGCCATTTTGGAAGTCACTTCACAGACATTCATTAGATTCCCTGCACCATCATGAGCCTTTTTAAGTAATTCACAAAGAAGTTATGTAAATAGTTCTCTCCCAGCAGTGTAACATACCACAGGCCCTGGTGCGATGAGTGAAATGGAGCACATTCAGCCATTTCTCCCATCAGCATTCAAATCATCTCCCATCTTTGGAGCGCTGGATGTCTCTGGCCCTTGGTCCCTTTGCAACACTTACTATATGTGATAGCTGTTCACCTCTTTGGCATGAGGGGAAGCCACCCAGGTTGTGTCCTCTTGCTAATTCACCACACTAGTAAATTACTAGCTAATTCACTGAGCTACCTAATGAACAACTGAAAACAATGAAGTTTTCATTGTTTCAATGAAACATAAAAATCACAAGTAGCTTGTGTACAATTCAAAGTGGGGGAAGAAAAAGAGGTCTAAATATGCTAGGAATGTTATTTGCAAAGAGCTTTTGCAGCAGATTGAGTTATTCAATGTTTGCATGGAGAGAGACAAAGAAAAGTGAAAGGGAACAGTAAGAAAAGACAAGACACAATGCAAATGAGCTAGTTAGACAAAAACCACAATGCACTTTCTACCAGTAATCTTTTGCTTGAACAATTTTGGTTAAGAGCATATGATAACTAGCATCAGGATGGTAACCTTAGTCTATGTCTAAACAAAAAGTGGAGACACAACCAAAGAATCACGAGTGTCTGAGGACAGCTGAGGTTTGAAGAGTTGTAATATCTGAGCAGGGCCACAGAGGTGCCAAAAGAAAATGAAAAGATCCTTTACTGTTATTTGCTATTCTGTTTGCTCTTAACTTTGTTCTGGTGTTTATTTTTGTATCACATGAAAACCAGTCTTGAACCAGCAGATAGAAATGCTGGAATAGATAACCACATTAGCAGAGGAATTAGAACAGATTCTTCTCCCTCATTACTGATGTGCCTACCAGCATCCCCAAGTTGAGTACTTCAAAGACAAACAGCCTCTTTAATTATTCATATTTTACTAATGAATTTATTTTCAGTTCAAATTTGCAAAAATACAGCACTTCAAGCCAAAGCACTGAATTAAAGGTGCAGCCATGCTCTACATTTAGAACCTTAACTTTGTTGCTCTGCGTTTCCAAGTAGAAGAAGCAGCAGCCAGTTTCCACAACCCATAACAAGCAGTTATACACCACAGACATTCACAGATCCTTTGTACAAGGATCCATGCACAATTGCCGGCCAAGCAGAGGATTTTATTCATTCCTGAGTGCATTAACAACTCGACAGGCAGGCCAGTCCGCAATTAATTGTGTTTTAAAGAAACTGTTCTGCTCTACCACTGGTTTTGTTTGCTTTTTGCCAAGGGACAGGACCCACATAGGACACCAGAGCAGTTCCTAAACAGTGGGGCTAATCACAGATGGCATTCGTGAAGGTAGTATTACATATTGCTTCCACCTAAACTAATCATCACCTTAGGATCACTTAAATGATGTCCATTCATTTTTTTTTTTCTAGGAGTGGAAGGAGTCATAGTTTTAGTTCAGGATGCTATTGCTGAGTTTATAAAGCTCCTATCTGAATGGAGAGCGAAATAGTACAAACAGAACCTTTTCCTCCATCCAGCTTTGTGTATACATTATTTCCACCAAAAACTACATGCAGCTGAGCGAAACACTGGCCTGCTGGGGCCACAGGAAAAGGCTCAACAGAAAAGAGGTCAGCCAAGCTACACCCCACCTGCAACTCTTGGAGGAGACAGCTGTGAAGTTATGGCAGCAGCAAGCAGGGAAAATGGGACATACTAGAAAGGGCCGGCTGGACAAGTCATACGTGTGCACACAGCATCTTCATGCACCCTGGGTCTGGATATTGTTAAAGACTAATATTTAAGAACAAGGTTTGGATGCTTGCATCTTATTTTGTGTTTGTTATGCCTCAAGAATGCAACAAGATAGTATGTCTTAGCTGTGGTAAACAACCACAAAACCTTACTAAAATCTGCTCATACAGCAGAAGTTGATAGGAAGCAGCTACAGACTGTATGTAACTGTCTGCCCACCAGCTCCAAGTAGGCAGGGACATGGGACAGCCCTTGAGCACCCAGGATAGAGCAACACTTCTTGATTAGGACACGTGAGGTGTTCCTCTTTGCCAAACATTACACTTTTGTGTCATTTGGGAAGGCAGAAGAAATGTTCTGTAATGTGGAGACTGCTCTGTTCAGTGTCTGAGGGGTCATGAGGCTGCTTCAAGGAATCAGCCCTAGCAGCAGATTCTGGATGGTCAACTAGCAACAGCCCCAATACCACAGGCCACTAAAAACAGCAGAGCAGATCTTAGCCCTGCTTTCCCCACAGCTCTTTCATAATTCAGCTGTGATACGAGCTCTCTCTGCTGCCAGCTTTTCAGTTTTAAGGAGTTCCCCATCACTTCAGGAAATCTCTCATGTGTCCGGTTTTGATTAGTACCAGTTTCTTTCACACTGCCAAAAGCAGTATGAGCATCTGGTTCCTACCAAAAAGTCTTTCTGCCCTTCCTTTTTTTATTAAATAAGTAACAGTACTAAGAAGAAGTAATTCCTGTGTGGAAAATAACTTCATCTGATGATATAGTCTGACCAGTTCATCTGCTCATTGGGAATGTAAGTGCGCAGAGGGAGCCTCAACCAAGCATCCTTTTGTTCTGAACCAGAATCCTGCTCATGACAGGTAACCTAAGTGTATGCTCCACACCTACCCCTAGCAAATCCTTCCTCATCAAGCTTGCTGTGTTTACAAGCCTCTGGAAACCTCTGGGAATCAGACAAGAAAGGCAGAGAAGCAGCACCCCTTCCGTAAGCCTAGAGCTGCATGTCCTCACTCAAAGGTGTACAAAGACGGCCACAGCTCTGATGCTGGGAGCTACTAATTTACCCAATTTTCTAAATACCATGAAAAAAAAAAATGACATTTGGTAAAACGTACATTAGACTTCAGAACTCTGTCAAATACCAGAAATTTCCAAGATATTTCTATGTCATTTATCTGCCTAGGGTTTACTTAGGCAAACATTTTATTCACTTCAATATTTTCCTTGTTCCTGTGCTTTTATTTCTTGCTCCAGTCTAGTTTATCACTTAAAATCATAACACCCTCTTATACTGTAACCCAGAAAAGCACTCTTCCCATCATAAAATTACACTGCAATGATGTAACTAATTTTCCAACGCTATGCTATTCTGACTGAGACAGACTTCAAGTAAGTTGTTGGCAAAGTCATCTAAACCTCAAGGAGCACAAATCAGCATTCACACAGAAGTTTTCCCACCAGATTAGCAAGATTCAGAGGCTGGGTCCAGCTTCCAAATGGCACGTTTGCTCCAGAAATGTTACTTATATATCACAACGTTATGCATGTGGTGCGCTGTGACCAGTACTTACCATCGCTGCTCCCTCTGAGCACTACATCTGGAGACGGTGTCTGCTGCGAGCGGGAGCCAAAGGAGTCCAGACTGTCAAAGGAATCATCTCTGCCGTGGCGAGGTGGGGAGAGGGAATCGCTGCGTTCAGAGTCCCAGCAGTCTATATAGCCGCTGTCACGAATGCTGCGCTTTGGGCTCTCGATATCCTCTGTTTCCTACGTGGAAATACAGCAGGTATCTCTTCATAAATAAGCCACTGACATACTTCTGAGATCCATTACACATCAGACAACAAAGCATCTTCCCAATTACTAAAAATCTACTCCCCAAAAAAGTTTCCTTGTTTTCTACCCCTTCTTCCCTTCAAAGCAAAAGTGCAAGCTTGCAGTAAACCTCAATTTTATGCTGATTAAGAGGAATCCCTGTTCATTAGCTTAGTACGATGGACTGAGAAAAAGTTGCGATAGGCAAGTTAATAAACTGATCAAAATTGAAAGTAACCTGAAACTTGACTTGTTGTCCATAGTTCATAGCACAGGCAAAGGCACTACACTTTTAACATCGTGCCTGCATCAGGTTTAAGTCTGCTGCTTTCCAGAACATCCCCCCCTCCCCTTGCCCATCTATTGTATCTGGCTGGGACACCAGCAGACAGCGTTTGTTGTTGCTGCTTCAGCTCGGCAAAATAATGAAGCAGTGTGCCCCAGCCTCCCTCTACCTTGAAGAGAAATTCCTGTTATGAAAGAGGGATGTCTTTCTGAAGCAATCAGCAATGAAAAATATGCAAAATGCTTTTCCTGATGCCTCAGAAGAATTCAGTTGTGCTCTTTACTCTTTGCCAGCTCCTGGCTCTGGGGGATATGAAAGCACTTGTAGCTGACCCACATGTTCAGAGCAGGCAGAACAATGGTTGTCTTTGACAGCCCTGTGATTATAAATTCTTTCCAGTGCAAGCAGCACATACTAAAACACTGAAACTCCAGCAGAGGAAAAGGTCAATAGAAGCCATCCTCACCCTTGCATTATAATAAATCCCTTGTTTTAGAGCGCGTCCTAACATTAATTACAATCGCGCAGCCTGAGAAAAAACAAAAATAACTACTTTTATGCAAAGATAAATCTGTTTTTTTCTCCCCAGACACTAAGTAAAGTCAGAGATGTGGGTGCCATTATCAGACTGACATTTTGTGACCCAAGGATGTTGGAATGTGATTTTTTTTCTTCTTCTTGCTCCCCCCCCCCCCCCCCCCCCCCCCCGAAGCATTTGAATATTAATTCCTAATTAAGAAGCATCCCCTGCTTACCACTACTTGGAGCACAATGGCTACGTTGATTACAGCTCCCACTGTTCTTGACTGCTAAGGTTTTACCCGTTACTACTATCACCAATGAGACAATCAGTCTTGTGGGCCACCTCCACAAGAAAGTGGGTTTGCTGTAGAAACGATGGAGGGAGAAGAGCCCTGCAGTAACACACCAAAGCTTCCACGCTGGAAAAGAGGGAGGCTCAAAGCGAGACAGAGAGATCAGACCCAATGTCCTACAGACTTTTCAGGAAGAAGGCTTAATTAGTGCCACTCACTATTATGCTGCCAAAACACCATATTGAGGGCAGCGACAAAGGTCCCCTAAGGCCAAGTTAAACTGTGGTAATGTCAGTAAGTAACCTCACTGCAAACTGAAGTGAAAGTATTTTGTGAAAACAAATAAAATTCATCTAACAATGCAGTAATTGGATCGTATGCAATTTCCCTCCCCAGTACTGCTTAGTAAACTAAAATGCTGATAGGAAAACTAGACAACAAAGATCTGTCCCTGAAATCTACAGGAGTTACACACATCCAAGAACAAATCTAAAAATCCTATCAAAGTCTCGTTTATGACATGATCCAAAAATCTTTTTCAAAATGCAAATTCCCTAAATCCCCTCATCCCTTCACACCAATCAGCTACTCTCAATCCTCAGGCACACTTCCATTTTCCTAAATTACTGTATTTTAATGACACTCGGCAGCTACAGGACTTAAATGCGGGCAAAAAGCCCCATCCTGCATTCACTATCTCCTAGAGTTTGAAAACAGTCCAATTGCAAACTAATGAGTTCTGCAGACCCTACTTTCAAAGGCCTGTTGATGTTGATGTTAATTTTGCATGCTGCTCACCAGGAATTAGGAGGCAGGCAGCAGGATGGTATCCTAGACTTCTGTAAACATGTTCTTTTACAGCCTTCCCCTTGGCAAAGCTACTGTCCCAGCCCAACGCCGTCTCACAGATGGGTACTTGTCCTGCTCTGACCAAATGTCATCTCCCAAATGTTATCAATGGGAAAAAGAAAGTGGGTGTCTGCAGGACTGATAACACCATAACACAACACACAACAGCACATTAGACTTTCATATTATCTAATCAAAAACACAGTATGTAACTGAGTGGTAGTAAAAGTGTGACTGCCAAATATGAGATGCGTTTCTCCAGGACATTCCACGCCCTAAATATAATAAAAAAAACTATGTATGTTTTGTCATGGGGAACTTCCAGTTTAAAAGTATAGAAGAATGCATAACCAAATAGTTAATGAAATTAAAAACAGAGTAGCATGAATAAAATTAGAAATTAACAGACCTTTCAGGATGAGAAGCAGAAAAAGATGAGTCCGAGACAACTTACATCCGAGCTGTCTTTTGATTTGCTTATTAAAAAAAGGAGGGCAGAGAGGATTTATAGCAGAAAAACTTAACCAGACTGAATTTATGGTCGATGTAATTATTAAATTATGTGGGGAAAAAATGCCAATAGAGAATGTGATAAAGTGTCTTTTCATCACTCAAGTTCAGCAATAAAGAACATGAGAGTGTTGCGCAGCATGATTAACATGTTCTATTTTACAAGCAAATCCTTTTCAAATTCAGTAACAGACAAGCCCACAATTGCCAATCAGAAATACTGCAGGAGTACAGGAGTAGGGAAGTGACCTTAAAATAAGTCGCCAGTGGCCCTTGTAACAATACCCACCTAAACAAGACTTTTCAGGACTCTAAAATGCTGTTTTTACATTAAAGGAATATTTAGTTTTCAGCTTTTATGAGATCTCTACTCGGCTCCCAGCTCCAACATCTGCAACGAATCAAATCCCAGACTCTTGCTTTTGTCCTTGACCTGCAGTGCTCGGCACTGCCCAGCCAGGTGCTCCATGACCATCAGCTCCCCAGAAAATGCTGCCTTTTGGCCCCAGCCTACTTCATCCCACAAAAGGGCTCAAGATGGAACCTCCAAAATGCTCTGATCATTATTTTGATGACTAAACTTGACCTGGAAAGAGAGAAGCCTCATGCTGTGAGACATTAAAAAGTAAACCATGATACCATGCAGCACTAACTTCATAACAACCTGCACTTTGGCTATTTTTCTGCATTAGTTTCCTTCTCCATCTTTGTCTCACTTTTCAGACTCTTTGAAGTGGGCACTGCTCCTTCCCTGCTGCTTATATTTTGAAACAACTCAAGTATTAACTTAATTGCTTTATTGTTTAGTTTCAGCCATATCACTCATGAGTGGCAAAGTCCTAAGCAATTAGTGTAGGTCACTTAAAATGAAGATCAAAATAAACCTCTACAGAGAAGCAGGATGTTCTCTTTTTTCCTCCCCATTTCCACCTGTTTGTTCACAGGAACTGGGCTCACAAACAGGGATTTTACCAGTCTAATTAAGGCTCTCTGGTCGAGAGTGTAGGAACTGCTATCAGTCAGCCAAGTATTTCTTCCTCTCCATTGGCAATCCGGTGCCAGCCCTCTGAGATCCTCAAATGAAGAGCTGCAGCTGATGCAGATGCAGTAGCACAGAGCTTGAGGAGAGTAAAGAGAGTCTTCCACGGTCCCCAAACCCTACTGCCTGTGGTGACTTGGCCGTTACATGAGATGGGGAGGGAGCAGCAGGAACAAAGCTCTCTGTGGGCTGGACAAGGTATCTGCGTAGCCTTTCATGAGCAGTATGTCCAACACATTCAATGCTAGCACTGGGTGCTGCCACCTTCTTACATGCCTGCTCCTTGCTCCTTCCATCTCCAGTAAATGCACGTTTGGATATCAATGCTAACCATTACTGAGGTTAAGTGTCTCATGACGAGGTTCAGGGCATGCTGGAGCGCTAAGGCAAAAGTCTCCAAACTACCCTACGCCAATCACAACTTTTCCTTTCCAACAGAGCTCAGCTCATCATAAACCACCAAATATGATTTCAGCCAGAATTCAGAGCTTGGCAAAACCCAGATTCATCATAACTATGTCCCTGGTGAAACATAATCTCCTCCTTCTACCCTTTAGCTTTATTTAGATACTTTGGTTTGATGGTTTATGTTGCAATTTAAAAACAAAAGAGCTGCCCATGAGACTCAATGTTTTAAAGAAGAAAAACCTCTGCTCCTATGAGTCCTGCCACCTTACTTTTGAGTCTCAGTTCTTCTAGCTGAAACTCTGTGTCATAAATGGAAATAATTCAAACCAAAACCTATGGAAACGAAGATGCCAGAGCCGTGTGGCATTTTTAAAGCCCTGTTCGACATCACGTGCTGCATCACCGATATCACCACAAAGCTGCCAAAGAAGTTGTGTTCACAGCTTAGTAAGAGTCAGAAACATTTTTTAAGGAGGTTTACCAAGTAATTTGTACTCCAGCCCCCCACTTCTCTCGTATTTACCAACACACAGGTTATTTATGGCAGTAATAATTGAAATGAAATTTCCATTCCCAAAACATAACAAAAAGATACCTTTCTCATCTGTGCCAGCAAACCTTCAAACTCCTTCAGGTTCAGGGTTGATCCACTATATGACGTGCAGCTGTTTGCTGCTTTCCCTAGCCAATAAATGGTGACTAATACCTGCAGAAGTTAATAAGAATTAATTGAAGCCAACTGCACAGTCACTTAGCTAAATTTACCTCCCTTCAGCACCTCTTATTTATTCTAAACTACACAGCAGCACAAGATTTTGTTATAAATCAGAACTGAAAGGGAAGCATCTGTCAGTGGTTAAACATAAATATATTGGGCAACTACAAAAATTTAAACAGTTCTACAGAATATGTAACTTAACACACTATCTTCCTGGTAGTTTTATTAAAAAAATGAAACTGTCATGTCCGCCTGAAAAATAATCAGCAAAAATAAATCTGAAATGTGTGCCTGCCTGTTTCAAGGACAGAAAAGGTAGTTTCATTATAACATGGGAACACTTACTTCCAGGCTTCTGCTAGCTTAGGAAATGCTTAGCCCAAGATTAATCAAAAGCCATAAGCATCTGTTTTTTTCTATCAGACTAAAGTTAGTGGTTTCATTCAAGTTCTAACTTGATGTTTCTCCATAACTCAAAGTCACTTCAAAACTAGTGTGGGGAAAAAAAGGCTAAGAATTGCTCTCGCAAATGTTTATATATCCTCTCACTCCTTTAGGTAGCAAAGAAATCTGATCTGATGCTGCTGGTGCTGCAGTTGTTTTAGGATGGGAGAAATTAAAATTTTCAGGATGGTCAAATCCAACACCTCCAAAAATGCTGATATTTACACCATTCACGGAAAGCAAGCAGTCCTTCTCTGCACCCACATATGTCTCCACTTAAAGCAATGTCTTTAATGGTACCTGCGCAGCGGCAATTTGGACTGGAAACTGATCATCAAGGGCAATCTAGTTCAGTGTTTTGCACTGGTTTAAAATGCCAAACTATCACCTCAGAACTTAGGACTTTTTTTCGTTTAATGCTTGTTATTTCTACATATTCCGTGACATTGCAAAGTATTTAACCGCAAAGCAAACAGGAAATATTTTTATGTGGAAAAGATGTGCAACCAATAATAAATAATAATTGCCATTAACTGTCTCAAAACAGTTAAATAAACTGAAATACAGTATTTTATGTTTTGATGGGACAGAGACATATAACTCATACTATATAGTGAACTATGGAAAACAGGACTGGGGGAAATCCCAAGGGGGATTTTGTAGATAATATTGTAGACAGACATCTCCATCAGACTCCTCCCTAAAACATGTACCCCCATTCCTTCAGTGCTTCCTCCTCAGTCACATATGCTAGACTGTTGATTAGCCTTTTCTCATCAATTTTCTCTAACATCCCCAATTTTCATTTAGGTGTGATGTCCAAAATCACGTGCACCACTCCATCTGAGTCCCTGCCAGAAAAGGATACAGTATGTGTCATACAGATCTCCTGTTTAAAAAAACCCTTGAGGTGCATAATGTAAAATGTATTATATTTTATATATAAATATAATTTATATTTCTCTTTAGTTTATAAATAATATACATGCTATGAAATAACTGAATAACACTTTTAATAAAGTTCAGAATTTTCCCCCTTGTTTTTAAAATTACATTCAAATTGATACTACTGTGCTGAGGGAAAGGAGGCAGTTTCGCCAATATTTATTTTTTTTGTCTTTAAACAACCTTTATCTGAGCTGTTTTCCTTCAACCAGCACTACTCAACAAATTTATGTAAAAATCTTTTACAGTACATGTTCTCAAGTTAAGCGAAAACACTTGCAAATATAGTATTCCTAGCAACCAGGAAACTGTCCAATTCATTTTGCAATTCAGTTCTCTGATGAAGGTTGTGGTATTTTTTATTATCTCTGCCAGCATTTGTTCACTTTCTTTCTTCTTCCTTTTGTTATCCACCTTTCCTCCTCCCCCCCAAATAATGTCACATTTGCAAGCAATTCTGACTGGCTGCCAGCCGAGGTTGCAGGATCGAGCACCTGGAAAGCATACACTGCCTACAAGCACATTGTGAAGGATACTTTTGAAACTTTACCTTTAAAACAATCCATCTGTACAAAGGTATTTAGCTAGTGCCCACAAGGGTGCTAAGACGCAAAAGCAGAACTCCTCCCCTAAAACTTGTGTTGGGGAGTGCTGGATGCAGAAGGTATTACTCTAATGATGATGGGAAAGACAGGATGAAATAATTTGGGGGGGATTTAAGTTTTTGGTTTTGTTTTTTTTTAACCTGCAGTCATGATTACTGGCTTGCAAAGTTATTAAGAAAAGGTCTTGGCATTTCCTAGTAGTTTATAGGGATGTGACCCAAATATAAAATTAATTTATAGCAGTTTACAGCTAAGGATAGACAGCTTGCTAGGCTTTAGGACAATAACTAACTCTGAGATCAGCAAAGTTGAGCCATTTTCTCTTCTGCTCAACAATTACAGGATCCATTATCATTGGTATTAGTTTAAATCAATAAGAAATCAAAGTTAACTGGCATTAGCCTCTCTGGGAAAACACTAATTTATTTGGAGGAACAACAAGATAGGTAGCAAATCTGACAGTAAAGACTTGCATCCAGATCTAATGAACTAATGATCATTTTGCTTCATTTTAAAGACTTTGTGCAAATTTACTTCATGCCTATATATTCATGAAAGGCTACAAAAGCGTAGCTTCATGAGTTAGATCATTCTCAATGAAAACATAATGGATAGTATGAAGATCACATTATTTTCCCCTTACTTAAGCAGAGACAAACTTTCTCCATTGTGTTTGTATCGTAAGGCTGCTTTGCCATAGCAGCTCTATCCAAGTTTGCAGTAGAACCTGGTTAGGTTTGTGTTCAGACGAACTTTTCAGCAATACTCATCTGTACAAAGTTTTTAATGACATAATTCATGCTCAGGTCAAACACAGGATTAAACAGACAAAAAAAATACTCGAAGTCATGTACTTACATTTTTCAGCTTCCTACTATAGTCAATGTTCCTGGTTGCACACACACACCAAAAAAAAAAAAAAAAAAAAAAAGGGAGAGAGAGAGAGAAAATAATCAGAAAGCAGACACAAGCTTTCCAAGAGCGTGTATACAGCAGATCACGTTTTCCCTAACAAAAGCCTGCAGAATGCTTCTGCTGGCTGGAAACACATGAAAGCTAAGAAGATGTAGTTCACACATTCATTTATTCATAACGTGGGAGTTTTTTGTCACCGTTACTTCAATCATTAAATTATAATTCTGGAAGTACAAAAAGAAAATGAGTTTATAATGGTCCCACAGTAAAGTAGGACAGTGCCAAAAATATTTCCTTTAAACAGTGCTGCTGATTGCTTCAAAAAACAAGACCAAAGTCCTCACTGCTAAAATACATTCTTGCAGTAATCCAACAGTTAGATTCTGCTCGGTGATAAATCATGCAATCCATAGAGATTCTGGAAGCAACTGAACATGCATAGGAGACTGAGGAAATCATGCATAGGAGACTGAGGAAATCATCACCAAACATTAAGGAAATGGAGCAGCTGCTTCTGCAGAAACAAGCATCACAAAGAACAAAGCGGATGGGTGAAGGAACAAAGATCCTGCCACTTGCAACTGTAGGAAACGTATTTATTTTTTTAATATACACTTGACCACAGACTGAACATTAGCATCCTTCTCAATTTAGCTTTTTGCCAACGTTCAAAGGGTAGAAGTTTTAAGTTAGAAACAACAAAGCACAAAGTTTGCACAAACATAAACAACACTTAAAAATTCAGAAAAGAAACCATTAAAAGAAAAGAATGAAGGAAATGTGTATCACATTTAGGTCCTGAAAAATAAATAAGAGCACTTCAGATTTAGTACAGATTGTCTCTTGATTATTTGTAACGGAACTGCCTTCTACTATAACAGTAAGTCCACTCCAGCATTAAGTGTTACCTGATAAAAACAAAAACAAGCGTACTTAAATCTGCAAGAACAACAAAAGCCTAAATATAGGCATTACTAAACCAAAGTATTTTTTATGAGATCTTTTTTAATCCAAAATTTTATCTACCAATACCCATATACTAAGAAAACTAACAGTCCTATTTTTTTCTTAACAAAATAGCAGTAGAAGAGAGTCTTGTTTAACAAGTCAAGAAGAAATTCTTTACAGCATTAGCTCATAACTTTTATAAGCTGAATGTTCCAAAAAAAATAGATCTAATGCATACTTCAATTAACATCCATATGAAAAAAAATGGTTGAAAATGTCATTATCTTAATCATGTGCAATAACGTCATATTCATCCTTTACCACAGAACAAATACTATTTTTGCCATGTTTAAAAAATAACCCAAAAGTCTTCAAAGGGGGGCGGGGGGGGAAAATCACCTTCATGCTTTGGGAACTAGCTAGCAGAAGGCAGTCTTGAACATATTTCTCTACAACAGTCATGGACTTGGCTTGTACACCTCAACTCAGTCACTCAGTATGAACTTGGACAGTGCTAGGAAAACATCTGGCTCATTGCCACAGCTGCTTTCTCTGAAGAGTTGATGGGGAAAAAAAAAAACAAACCCATGCCAGTAAGACAGTGAGACACTTTATATCTACCTAGCATTATATTCAGCAGAGGGCCAAGCCAGCTCCGCAGAGTTTATTACTCCTGGTTTAACTTGCTTACGTGCTGGACAGCTCTCCTTGGAGCTCCATGCTAGTCCTAGCCTCTCAACCTGCCTGCTCTGAGGTACTCCACCCATCCCCAACCCCAAAAGATCAAAGCTCTTATGAGAAAGACCTTTTCTCTCTGGTTTTATGTGGAGATTAGGGATTGTTTTGTGACTCTCTCCAGCCACTCATTGTCATGATTTTACAGGATGTCATGAAGAACCCCTTTCATTGCAGTATTACCAGATTTAGAAGAAATACGTTACATAGTCCCCTCTTACTAGTATGTACAGGCAAGAAGACCCTCATGTTAGAGCCAGACCTTGGAAAGGAGGAAAAAGTGGGAGACTGTTCTTTGAAACAAGGAAAGTAGCCAATTCAATTTTCAGAACCTTTGAATTTTCCCAGACAGTGCTTGAACACCATGAAAACTTGCCCAGCTTCTACTGCCAGAAGGGAAAAAAAATAGAATGCCACTGAAATTTAGTAAATTGTTTCCATATACTTTTCCAAAATGGATATGTCTGACTAGGATTTCATTACTGATCTTTTTGGCCAAATCTTTTTGGCCAAATGAAACCAGGCCATTCAATCAATTCCACAGTATTTGCTTGTCTGTAGAGCATTAACTTTTTAATATTACACATTAAAGACCCAGAAATTTCAGGAAAACTTCTAAATAACCTCAATTACAAATTTTGTTAATTTTATGAAAGTGTGGGGTGCTCTTGCTTTTGGGGGGTGGGGAGCATGATTGCCATTAATATAAACAAGAGAAAAATACAGTTTGACTGCTGCTGTTCCTCTAGTGCACAATGACAAAGTCTTCCCTGAAAGGGACAACAGTTCCTATTTAAGACATCAATCTATTACTATTGGACTTTGATTCAAGCCTGCTCTGTGTGACCTTAGGCAAGTCAGTAATTCTTTCTGTACTAGTTTCACATCTATATTTTAAATCACTTTGTGGGGTGAAATGTTGAAAATATAAACATTGGAGTCTATGATTTCCTTCTCCCTCCCCCCCACCCATATAGTTCATTAGTTGAACAGACAAAAAAGAATGCCATCAATTTAGACTCAGGAAAATCCCTAAGTCCCACAGAATCTCATTGCTTAACTAAAACACTATTTTAAAAGAGCTGTGGTTGATCTCTCTGGGAAAAAAAACAGCCCTTAGAGAAAGTCTGTTGAAGGGAACAATGTACTCTTCCCAGCGCTGAAGGCTTCCCAAACCTCAGCTTTCTATTTGCTGTATACAAATGACAATTCTATAGCCTTTTTGCTCATCCTTAAATATTCACAATATTGCATCACATGCATCTGAGGTTGTTAACATGCTAATTGCAAACTGCTGTTGTACTTACTTGATGGTTACTCTGTTTGATGTGTCCTGCAGATCACCAGGATCAAAAAGCTGAGATTCTTTAAGTCCCAGCTCTTTGCAGCCTCTTAAGAATAAGATTATATTATCCTGAAACGAGGCAAAAAAAAAAAAAGAAAAAAAACAACAAACAAACAAAAACCAACTTTTAACTCTTCTTCATTGAAAAAAATAATCCTACTGAACCAACTTCTCCCTGGCTCAGTAACAGCTCACAGAGGTATCATTAGTTAAATGAAGAACCAAAGACATTTCCATTCACATAATTTAAGAAGTCAGTAGATGTTTTGCTTGAAAACCAGATGAATATGAAAAAAAACTTTCTTTTTTTTTTTATATTTTAAATATGTAACTACAACAAGCTTTTTGACTTCTCCCTTTCCAAACCCAGATGTTGGCAACTTCTTTAACTGAAAAAGCCCTGCTAATTTCCCCACCTACTGCTGTAGGCTGCCAGCACAGCTCCAGCATGTTATGGGGCAGAAAAGAAAAGGCTGGATTTCTGAATCGAGCGGGAAGGGTAGATGTGAAACAGCCCACCACCATTTAAACAAGTAGTTTGTTCAGAAAACATTTTGCATGTCAATACAAACAAGCAAGTTTCTCCTAGTTAAAACAACCAGTCTCTTCCCTCTCCAATCTTAACCAGTCAGAAGCCACCAGGAAAAGAAATAGGTGCTTTCTCCCCAAATATAGTGCTGATTTAAGCCTCTTTCAAACCAAATACAGAGGCTGCTCATCTCAAACCTCCAACTGGGGGTGAGCTGCTATGAAGAAGAGTTAGAGAGGAACAGAACTACAGCGTGGGGCAGACACCTCCATTTTTGTAAAAACTGTGAAGCAGAGGAGCCTGGGCAGTGTTCAGCTCTTGCCCACCCTGAGTGACAGAGCAGGATTCATGAGCAGGGCTGTCCCCACATCTGCTCCCAAGCTTTTGTTTGGGTGGCACGGCCACAGCTCGGCAAGAGCAGTCCTGTTTATTCTGTCGGGGCGCAGCGATCGGCATGCTAATCGCTGCGGCTCCCTGCATGCCAACGCTCTTGCACACAAAGCTTGCTGTCACCAGCCACACCGCAAAAAAATACGGACTTGGAAATTTAGAAGAGACCAAACCTCCCCTTCTTCCCTGGCTGAAACTTAACAGCTCTGGAGGGGAGCCAGGGGGAAAGGAACAGCAGTCGAGAGAGCAGAGAGCCCATAACCCAGAGAGACAGCATCGTTCATGACATGAAAAGATGCTTGTAAAATTCCCCATCTGGCTTACTGTTTCCATTATATTTTTTCCAACTGCAACATGAATAACTCTTGTGTTCAGCCTTTGATTGAGGACAGTTCTGGTCACTTCCAAATGGTGGGTGGAACAATGTGTAAAAAAAAAATGCAAAAGCATTAAATAAAAAGTTCCCAACAATATTTCCTAACAAAAATATACAGGACATACAGGACACAGTAACCTAATAGGTTTAGAAAACAATCAAAGGAGGGGGCACTCGAGGGATAACTAATTGCATCCATCTTTATGCCAAAAGTTCACATCCAAGTTATGATAAGCAGTAACAAAAATACAAGCCATTTGGCAGCCATGTAGCTTGGAAACTCAGTTTTTCTGTTGATGAACATTTGCCCACTTCTCAACAAAACAGTGTCACCACCCTACACCTGTTTTGGTACATGCTTTTATTTTGATGGTCATCATAAGAATAACATTTGCCAACAGTCACTAACATCACCTAAACAATTCCTCAGAAAGCTGGTATCCTATATGGGCATAAATAACCATGCACGTAAACAAAATGTGATCAGTCAGCACTGAAAGTTTTTGCTTCTGTAACAATCTCATAGATTTATCTCCCAATGGTCCTAAAACCAGCAATTTGTTTAAAAGGACAGAGGGCGAGAGGGGGAAGCCAACAAAGACACTGTTTTGAAGTGACAGATATTCAGGTAAACTTGCAAATCCTCAAGCCAAAATGTATCTCATACTACTGCAAAACTAAACTTTTCGTAGTCTGCTTCAGTACAATTGAAATTTGTATTTATTAGTTCTGTTGAAACACTGGAGAACAACACTCCTAAGACACTAAAAGGAGAAAGGAGTCTTACCATGAAGACCCAGCTCCCAGGAAAGCTTTCTCTCTAGATTACTACACCTTGCACTGGCCAAGTCCTAGTTTCTTCAGTTCTCAGAAAATTTTGCTTAAATTTTTTTAGAGTTTGATATCTATTGGCTGTAACTATACAATTTTTTTTTATACTATTCTGAAGTGCCACTTCTTTGTTGCTGTTGAAGAAATGAAAAAAGAAAAAAAACCACAAAAAACCCCATTTACAAGTAGGAAGATATATGAAACATCCTTACCTTAAATAAGGGACTGAAAACACACACCTAACATGCACATCCAGCTCCTTACAACCTGGCAGAGTTAAATAGGTCACGCAAATGGGTCGCACTGCAATGGCAGTGTGGCCAGCTGCCATGCCTCAGTTAACAGGGCGGCATCTTTTATAGTGGTCTCAGAAGACACAGGATCAGAATTCAGTCCCTCTGGCAGCCCTACAAGGCACTAACACACTATTTCCTCAATACATTAAATGAAGATGATATTGCCTTTCTCTGAGCGGTTACTTGCTGCAGTTGCAGAATTAGAGTAGACAGAGGATGGGTCACTTGGTCAGCACGTTGTTTCCTATAGCCTCAGAGGAGCTGCAACTGGCTCCTCCTGCCTCCTCTTGGTTTCAGCCCACACCATTATTCGGTCAAAAATGGTTCTGGTTTTTGTCCTTGCACATCCAGAGGAAGAGCGAGCTTACAGATTACAGTCTAAATTTCTTTTGCAAATTTTATCTATTTTTTACTATAAATTTTTATATCTTTAAATCTATAATCTATAGATATCTATAAAATTTTATCTACGTTTTCTCTATAAAATGACATAAACTCTAAACAGGCTGCTTACAGAAAACAAATGCTTCAGTATGGTGACAGACCGAGGACACAAGCACAGGATACACTGATATGTTAAACCCCAACCCTTTTCTGCTTGCCTAAGCAGAGCCCTGACAGTTCCTGTTAGATCAGCACTATAAGCAATGTCATTTACTTGTAAGTACCAGACAATGCAAAAATTATTAATGCAAATTTTTTTGCTATGCTGAATTTCAGAACAGAAAAATTAACCAACACACAAAACATTAAAAACTCTCAGGTAGTCAGTCACGAACCAGCAAGATGGGCAGGGAGGATGAATAGAAGCGTGGGGCACTCAGTCATAAGGATGCATGGAAAGGAAGGGTCTGGAAAGCTCCTCCTGTTCTCACAACTGGATTTCAAGACTGTCACCCTTTCATCCTTTCTGGTGTGTAAACTTTACAACTTACTTCTGCAAAACCACTCTACCAGGACAACCACGCACAGGTAATGCAGAGAGAATGAGAGGCAGTGGGGTTCCACCTCCATCAAGGCGGGGGGGCAGGGAGGGGAAGAAGAAGTAATATGCTGCTCACTTGTAATATTTTTTTTTTCTGTTTCTAAAAGATTGATAACCCATGTGCTATAAATATGAAAAAATGTTCACTGTATAGCATTAGGTCATTTTTTCACACATGAAGTGGAACACAAAAGCCTGAACCCTGTAAAAATAACCCAGAAGAAACTGTCCACTGTGCAGGACAGACACCCTGGAAAGCTACCGCAAATTCACACAGTAGCACTGCCAACACACAGGATAGTTCAAGCTAGCGAGAATCAAATATTCACAGCAGGCAAATTCTCTCCATAGGATCTGCTGATCAGATGCAATGGCAAACAGCCTGAATTTGGCCCACTTCCATTCCTTTCATCTGCCACAATAGTATACAAAATATTCGCACTGTATCCACGCTGCAAATCAGACCTGCAGCTTATCACTGAACCATCATTTGTCAGACGTGCTACTACATGGATGAGATATACAGATAAACTCACGTGGAAAAAAAAGCAAGCCAAGCTGTCCGTCTGCACAGAATGCTGAATAAAATGCCAAGCGCATGCCACTTCTGCAAGTTGGAGATATTATTAGTTGCCAGTAGCACCACGCTGTTTTGCAGGACAGCTGGAGATAAACAGGTGGCCCTTTTCATTTCTGGAATGCTGAAATTTTCCCAGTTCCAGAATAAATTGTAAGATTTCTAAAAAATATATATTTTTTTCCCCAAACTGCTTTTCTGAGCAATTTCCAATACACACTCTTAAAAGCCTTTTGGTTACTCTCTACATTTCTTCCTAATTCCCTCATTTTGCCATTTTATATAAATAATTAATAGTGATAATTTAGTTATATAAAAGCAATGGATCTTGACTGATACACAAGTAGACGGAAATGAAACACTGAAATATTCAGTTCAAGTCCACCAGGAAAGAATTTTTATGAGAGAGGCCAGGAACTTTTCATATTTTCATAAATATATACATATATATATATATAGACACACACACACACACATATGTATATATGTTTTGCTATTTATCCAATATGCTTTGCTGTATGTTTTACTGTTCAAACAGTTCCCAACAGACCTTACTTGATTGTAGTCAGCATAAATTCACTTAGAAACTCTGGATACTTAATCTCCAGAAGATGAAGGATGGCAGCACACCAGAACGGAAGGTAAACCCTACCAGAGCAGTAAGGGCAGACAAGGCTGCACACACCCCAAAAGGGTTCTGGCACACAGTAGCCTCACCTAATGAAAATTAAACACTACATGGGGAAAAACAGAAAGAGAGTGACCCCAGGCGCAGGGAGGGAAAGCAGGACTTACCAGCCTGTCTGTCTGACCCGATCCT